TACAACAAACCTTCTAAGTATAGTGTTCATTCCGTGCAATAACGCATAAATAAAAGGTTCTGGAAGAAAAGACACCTTATTTTATACCACTGAGGACAAGCAAAAAGGTCATATGGGTACCTCGGTTAAAAATATTTAAATAACTCTATTAATTAATACCAGTTCTAATTTAAAGGAAAAAGTCATGAGAATAAAATAAAAGTTGTCTGTACCACGAAGCATGCCTTCACTGTTTAGACTGAGAGTCCTAAAGCTTTTTTAGCTTGTATTCAAATATCTTATCACGATAAGTCCGCCACCCACACGTACCACCCTGCGCCGTGGTGTTTTTATTCGGCGGCTGGTCAGCGGTCACGTTTATGAGGTAAACATGGCGATCACCTCCTGATCACCGTTCTTGTCGATCAGAAAATCGAAATACCAGCGTGATATGGCCTCGAAGATGACGCAGTTATGTTGTTTGATTCGTACTTCACATTCGAGTCGAAGCTTGGGTGACACAGGTTATTTCTTACGGTGGAATCGACAAGGGAAATTCGAACACTAGTAGTCACTAGTTGTAGTGTTTGAATTGTTGGAAGAAATGGTCGCATGGGGATGTAGGAATGGTAGGTTTAACGAACAATTTCAAATTTTGCCCCTTGAATTGAAAGTGAAGTTCATTTAAATGCTTTCCTATGTATTTCTGACTGTTTTAGATCTACCTGCTCGATTTATATCTGCTACGCTTCATGTTGACAAGTCCCTCAAAATGGCGGCAAAACTTGGAGATTGCCGAAAATTAGGTAAGTTCACGGAGTTATAAAGTTTTAGTAAAGGTCGGGCCGCAGTTTTTTTTTTTCCGTAGTTACCTTTTCTATGGCACCTACTTCCTAGCTATATTAGTTGGATCAGTTAAGAACACCTCACTTTTTCAAAAATGTACCTTGAATTTGATCGGTTTTCGCGTGTGTGACTTAAGCGAACCGATAAGGTGTCGTTCAAGTCTTCCTGTTTGCTTCATTGAAACGTGATGTTCACGAAAGTCGCCTCGATTGATAAGATATAGTTAATATACATGGCTGTGGTATTTGTTTTTTGCTGAGTCCCGTAGTTTGCTGTAAATTGTCTGGCAAAGTTGCCTCAAATTTACGTCTTGAAAAGTGTCACGACAGGCCTTCGGTCGAGTGAAATTTAATTTCCGTAAAACTCTGAAAAATAAAGAGATCTGATCAAACGGATTGTGGTTTTAGTATAGGTACATGAATGTCTTACAACACACAAGAAATGAGCTAAATCTGTGTCTCAAGGAAAATCGACCGGACCGCTCTTACAGAGACACTCTCTTAAAAGCTGGTTTACACACAGCGATTGTATGCCCGATTTATTTCCAAAGAAAATATATGGTGATGCAACAGATTATTTTAATCCATCCGGTTTTCAGCCAGTTTTAATCTTTTCGTTTTTCTTTCGAAAAACTCATTGCGTGACAACCGGCTTAAAGCCCTTCAGTTACAAGAGCAAGTTTTCTTCAAAAGGGAAAATTTCCTCCACCGGCCGCGTAAGCCCCATTATGTTACGTGCTACTTGACTCACAATTTTGTTATCGCTCGGGAAGGAAACTGCCCCTTTGAATTTAAATGTCTCGCAATTGTTTTGCAGCAAGTATGGGTTGCAAAAAGGAAGGTCACGTTCAGCAAAAATAAGAACAAGGACCAGGAGGCTGTAGTTAGCCAAGAGTTTAGGAAGTAAAAAGACGAGGACGATCGATTCAGCGCGGGATGAAAGGAATGAGCGTCTCTGCCAAGACGAGTTACCGGAAACCCTGAAAAAAATATCGTTTACTATACATGTAGAAATTTAGAGATACATCCTTCTATTAAAATAACACTTTGCTCTGTAACAGCTCTATGCATGTCACGTTGTACACGAATGCACTTGTTACATGCATTTAGTGCGCCAGTGAAGGACAGTTTGCTCTTGTTCCTCTGGATCTGAAAATCTGAACCAATGCCGTGAAACACCCTAAACGGCCTCTTATTCGCCATTGTTGAAAACGCGTCCCCCCCCCCACAAAAAAAAGTCCCACAATGCACTTGACAAACATCTTGGCCCAGTCAAAGTGGCGAATAAGTGCCTTGACTTATTAGCCTTCTTCGACTCTTCAGTTATTGGCCGATATCATGGCTGTAAACAACAACAAAGAAAAAAAAAAAAACGAATGTAAGCCCCACCGAAAATAACACGCTGCCCTCTTGCTTGAACTAAATTGAAGTCGATTTATATTGACGTTTTGAAGCCTTAATTAACGAGCAGTAATTGCAAAAAATGTATTTTGATCAGCAATGCTACAGCTTATTTCTATGCCATCTATACGCCCCCTCATTTACTAAAGCCCCTCCGTTTATACGCATTCCCGCTGAATTAAAACCTGTTAAGAAGGTGTACAATCCCAGGCTTATAAGCGACAGCTAAGAGTGAGCAAGGTTTAACAGCTAGGACTGGAAATGACTCGAATCTATGGCTTCATGGCCGTGAAAAAATTGTGCTAGGCTTTTGTTCGTTCTTGTTTTATTTTATTTTATTTTATTTTTTTGTGCAAACAATCATCTCACTAACGTCACAGCAGTAGAGGAAGGAGATCCTTTTTTTCTGTCACGGCCTCTGACACATATCCAGTATACGTACTAACAGAAGTTTACTTTGAATTTCAGTGGCTGTAACATTGCCAAATGAGAAAGTGATACGTCTTAAGAGTGCAAAGATATAGCTCTGTAAAGTTACAAAAATAGACAGACGTTCCTACGTTACAAACGTCTGTAAAATTTGGCGACATTGAGGAGCTATATCTTGGTTAGTTTTCAACAAATCCGACTTTTAGACTTTGCAATTTTGTGTAATTTAGATGCGTTCTTTCCAGTGGTTGCTTTAGCTTGTCCGTGTCAAAAGTTGAAAATAACGTGGAATAGTCTATCCTGAATTGAAACAAGGTACCCTTTTGGGCAGCGCCTCCCCGTATAGATTATTATAGGGACCTCCCACTCCCCTCCCCAACCCCCCCCCTCTCCCCCACTCAGCCATCAAGGTATAAGATACGGGAGTTTAAAAATAAACACACTAACACTAGAAACGTTAAAGCTTGCTTAGCTTAATGAAGCCGCTTCTTTTTCTGACATAACATAGCCAACTTGGACTGAAGGCAAAGTTATATTTTTGGAAAGGCATCGGGTACCGTTAGAAACACAAAATCGTGATAGCATGCATAAAATTTTGTTACTTTTGTAACAATTTATATTCTGCCATTTATTTTTGGAATGTTCATCTTTTGACCCTGTTTCAGTACTCTGAAACGGGCTTATGAACAGAGAATAAAGAGGTGCAAAAAAACTTGCCATATAAGGAAATTAAAAGAAACAAGCAAAAACAAACAAACAATACACAGGAACAGAGAATTTACTTAAAATATTTGCTATATTAATTGGTGAGCACGTAGCAGTGATTTCAGAAAACGCTGTGTTCTCGTTCAAGTCTCACCGCTTCGCCCCGAGGACTAACCCCCTAACACTGCACTTAATTACCATTTTTGAGAGAAAATGTGTACCTTCTATTGGCCGTATTTAAACTAGAGACGGATTATCCGCCTGAGAGAGGTTATCCGGTGGAAAGTTCGCGTCAGGCGGATAATCGTCTTATATGATTGCACTTATAAGCCTTCCTCTCCAGTTATGGGCCCGTATCATGGCTTTAAGCGAAAAAAAAAAAATACATCCGAATATAATCCCCACTAGGTATAATAAGCTCCCCTCTTGTATGAACTGAATTGAGTTCGATTTATAATGACGTTTTGAAGCCCTAATTAACGACCAGTAAATGCAAAAAGAATCTATTTCGATCAGCATTGGAACAGGTTATTTCGAAGCGCTTTTCCTATGCCTTCAATAAGCCCCCTCGGATATTAAAAGCCCCTCCGTTTATACACCTTCCTAAAACCCCTTAAGAAGTTGTACATGTATAATCCCAGGGCTAATAAGCGACAATTTATGGTAAGGGACCGTTCACATATCTAGTACTAACAGAATGTCTTTTGTCATTTTCATGTAGCGTTTAATTTGATTCAATGAATTTTAACTTTAATTTTAATTTTGGAGGCTGTAACATTGCCAAATTTGAAAGTGATACGTCTTAAGCGTGAGAAGATATAGCTCCGTAAAGTTGCAAAACTTTACAGACGTTTTTACGTGGGCGTGTGGGAGGGGGGAGAGCAAGTTTGTGTCGGGCCCCCACCGTCAGGCAAACGTCTGTAAAATTTCCCGACTTTGAGGAGCTATATCTAAGTTCATTGGTTTTCAACAAATCACTTTCAAAACTTGGCAATTTTACCCATTTCAAACCGTTCTTTCCGGTGGTTTCCTTAGCTTGTCCATGTCAAAAGTTGAAAAAAAAGAAAAAAAAAATGGAATGATTTATCCTGAAAGAGGTACACTTCAGGGCTGCGCCTCCCGGTATAGGTCAATTATAGGGAGCCCCTCAACGGTCCCCTCCCCCACCCCTTTTAAGGTATAAGCTGTGGGAGTTTAAAAATAGACACACTAACACTAGACACGTTAAGGCTTGTTTAGCTGGAGTTTAGTAGAGCCGCTACTTTCTCTGACATAGCATAACTAACTTGGACCGAAGGCAAAGTATTATTTTTGATGCACTAAAGAGGAAAAGCACGGGGTACCGTTAGAAACACAAAATCGTGACAGCATGCATAAAACGTTGTTGCTTTTGTAACAATTTATGTTCTGCCATTTATTTTTGGAATGTTCATCTTTTGACCCTGTTTCAATATCTTGAAGCGGGCTTATAAACAAAGAATAAGAAGAGCCAACAAATTGCCATAAAAGGAAAAACAAACAAGCAAAAACAAACAAACAATATACAGGAACAGAGGATTTACTGAAAATATTTTCTATAAAATGATGAGCACGTAGCACTGATTTCAGAAAACGCTGTGTTCTCGTTCAACTCTGACCGCCATGGTTCAGTATTTCGCTGTTTTCCTGATTCCCTCTTTTTTTAGCGGCTCATTGCGAACAACCACCTCACCTCAGCAACAAACTGACGCCTCAAAGTTAAAAGACTTATGCCAGGTAAAAAACACCTAGAAACCGTTTTATTACTCTCACGTCGTTACTATCATTTACTTAAAACTACCGGTTAAAACTGTGTGTGGCAGGTTATTTAAAAGTCCCCGCTTCAGCATGATCTTCCCTCGAAAAAATGAAGCCTGTCCATTGTTAACTGTTAATTTTCGCTGATTCATCCACGTCCATTCGAGGCGAGATAACACTTTAAAGAGGATTATGATATCCAAGGTCTATTCCGTGCCTCGCAAACAAGGAAGACGGCTGGCGGGTATAGACTTTGTCCACTTTGGTCTGGAATCATTGTTTGCGAGTAAGCTACTGGCGTGTATTTATCGTTTCAATTTGAAATGAGAAGCAAAGAGAAATAATTATGTGAATTCTTTTTCGTTGCTGTTCTAAATTAATTTAAGTATAAATGATGACATGCATAATTTAATTCTTAGAGACAAGGCCTGAAAAGGGGGGTAAAAAATGACGTGTTTTGGTCTGAAATAGAGTCAGGATTTGGAGAACCGGGCGGCACACCCCCACTAAGAATTCCCAAGAGTACCCTCCCTCCCCCACCCCCGCCTTATTTAAGATCCCGTGTTGTCTTCGTCTCGGCTAATTACAAGTCATCTTTACTTTCAGCGATCTATGCTGGGTTTTCTTGGTATTCCAGGATCAAATGGTATACCGGGAGTGCCGGGCGTCCCGGGGCCACACGGACCCCAAGGAAGGGAAGGTGTAAAAGGACAAATTGGTGATAAAGGATCGCAAGGAATGCCGGGTCCGAGAGGAGACAGTGGGCGCGAAGGACCTCCTGGGAAAAGTGGACCCCGAGGAATTAAGGGAATGAAAGGTCAACAGGGACTTCTGGGAATGAAAGGAGAGCAAGGAGCTGTGGGAATTAAAGGAGCACGAGGCATTATGGGGAATCAAGGAAAAAAAGGAGACAAAGGAGACAAAGGAGAAAGCGCCAAAGCAAGTCAAGCAAGTGTAGTACCACAAACCAACTGGAAACAATGTGTGTGGAAATCATACAGCAACACTGATAACGGAACGATTAAGGTAATCAGAATAAGAATCATTCATAACACCTTCTAAAGAAAATTTACACCTTTTTAAATTAAAATGTTTCAAAGAAGAACGTCTCCCCTCTCACCCACCGTCTGTCAACACATTACATAAAGAACTGAGTTACATATCCCTCGGCTTGGGTTCTTTAGGATCGAAAAAAGGAGAACAATCGTACGTGATAAAAGGATTCCTGGCCAAATGGATGAGGACAACAAAAATTGAAGCTATTATAAAGTTTTCAAAAATTCGCATGTAATCTTGAATGGAGATGTTAGTATCAATCATTATACACACGGTTGCTTGCCTTGTTACAAAGAATTTAGAACCTCTTGATCCAAACACCTTAACTTCTTATGTAACAAGAGTCACTCCTACAAGATGCGACATAGAGTTAAATTGGGAGCTAGTGAAGAAGAAAATTGAAAAATCATCATCAAACCCGAATAAAGCTACTGGACCGGACCTGGTCTCACCCAAGGACCTTAAACTCCTTGGGGAATCTTCTATCCATAGCCTGCTGCCAGTTTTCAAGAAAAGTATAGATGATGCAGTTTTTCCAACAAACTGGAAACTCTCACGTGTAAAGCCAGTTTTTAAAAAGGGAGCACCCACTGATATGAGCAACTTCAGGCCCATATCTCTCTTAAGTATCCCAGGAAAGATTCTTGAAGACATTATAAGCAACAGCATAGACAATCACATTGAAGCTCAGAACCTGCTTAGTGACAATCAATGGGGCTTTCGCAAGAATCATTATACAGAGGGTCTCCTTCTTCATCTTACTGACACTTGGAAGTGGGCCCTAGATAATAATCTTAAAGTTGGTGTTCTGTTTATTGACTTCATGAAGGCCTTTGACTCGGTGAACCATACCATCCTATTACAAAAGTTGAAAGCTGTTTGTATATCAAGAAAATTTACTATCTTGGATGAGAAGCTACCTGTTAAATCGTAACCAATTTGTTCAAGTTAATGAAGTGAAATCAGACACTAGCTCTATCAAGTTTGAAGTACCACAAGGGTCAATCTTAGGACCCAAACTGTTCTCCCTTTATGTCAATGACTTTCCTGAATCTGTAACCTCGGGAGAACTTTATATGTTTGCTGATGATACTACCATATTTACCATAAGTGATAATATTGATACTATAATTAAGGCCATGCAAGTTATACTAGATCAAGTTCTTAGTTGGTGTGGTGCTAACAGATTGATTGCTCTTAGTTGGTGTGGTGCTAACAGATTGATTGCTCATGAAACTAAGTCATAAGCCTTATTATTATCTAAACAAAGATTCATTGGTCCATTGTTGCCTTTGAAGTATGGTGAAAAATTTATTGAATTAAAATCATCATGTAAATGCCTAGGAGTAACTATAGACAGTAATCTTTCTTGGCAAGAACACACTAAAAGTCTGTTAAAATCTTTTAATAAGAAAATAGCAGTCCTCAGAAGAATTAAATTCTTGCCATCATCCATTCTACAGACCATTTATTTTAGGACTGTACTTCCAAGTGTCTTCTACGGAATACTAGTATGGGGTTCCTGCTCACCTGCACTAATGGATGATCTTGAGCGTGCTCATATACGAGCTTCTAAACTTATTTTTAAACTTTCAAGGAATTCCAATGGTGATCAATTAAATAAATTGAAAGGCTGGAACAATTTATCATTTTACTACACTAAGAGACTGTTAGTAGAAGCGTATAAATCCTACTATAGATGCAATACCAATGTTTTAAATGATCTAGTAATGTTAAAACAATCATCTCACTGCCTGAGGAAATCAATGAATATTGAATTTCCAAGTCCCAAAACAGAAATTGGCAGGCTGACTTTTAAGCATAGAGCTGCCATTGCTTGGAACTCACTTCCTGATTCGATCAAAAAGTCTTCTAGCTTAGAATGTTTTAAAAAAAGACTTAGATCTAGCAAGGACTTAATTAATTCTATAAGCTATAATAAGGAATCTTCCATGATAAGAAATAGGAATGAGGAATTTCTTTATTAATCTTATTTATATTTGTATTGTTATTATTATTTATTATTTAACTTCTGTTGATTTTCTATTTATTCACATGTACATACTTTAGTTTTTTTTAACAAGTAGATAGGCAGGTCCACATCAGGACTTCAGTCTTGCGTATTCTGTAACCTGCGTTACCAAATAAACTATGTATGTATGTATGTATGTATGTATGTAATATGTTTGATTTTATTCCAGGACTGTGCGTTTAACAAACTGCAGTCTAATTCAGCGCTCAGAGTCTCATTCCAGGGAAACATGGGTAGTTCCAAGTGTAATCGGTGGTATTTTAAGTTCAATGGAAATGAATGCAGTGGACCAATGACGATTGAGGCTGCTGTTCACAACTACTGGCCATCTGACCCTTTTCTACATCGTCATCGGTCATTTGAGGGGTACTGTGAAAACATCCCACAAGGGGCAGTTAGAGTGGAATTATGGGTAGGACAGTGCGGTGGCGTGACCCTGGGTAATGCGCACACTGGGTGGAATTCAGTGTCCCGGATAACGATTGAAGAAGTATCTAGGCCCCAGTCCTAATAGGGGAAGTCTTTAACTTTGGCGCTGTTTCAATTTCCTTAGAATAGCATTCTACAAATATAGACTATAAAGAGCAAGGTGCGAAAGTAGTGATTTTGGTTATTATATTTTTTGCCTTTTGTGGCTACTTTCGTCGTTTAAAAACATAATTTTGTATTATTATGTCGGCGTGTTAGTCTTATTCGTACACTTTTGTGCAGCAGTTCTTTGTTTTGTCACGCAACGCTTCTTTAGTTCCTTTGTGGGAAAGCACCTTTCGTGACGACACAATAACCGGCTGAGCTCGTAGAGAATTGGTCCCCCATACAGCCGTTTGGTCTTGTCACGCACCGCTCCTTCCCTTTGGGTGACGAGACAAAAATGGCTGTGATAGAGAACGATTGATTGACAATCCCTTTTTTATGTGATACGTTATGGAAGAAAGATATGTATCAATACAGCATATCTCAGGGGAACCCATTCTCTTTTGGCTAAGAATTTTGGCGTTCAGTTTTTGAAGCCTATAAATATGTAGTTAAAGTAAAGACTGTGATATAATCTTTCATCTCTGCGAAAGAAAACAACTGCTGAAGAAAACGATTTAATTCAAATGATGCTGGTGAATAGAGAGGAGAAGTAGTTATGTCACGTTGCCAGGGTGGCAAAATTTTTGGATGACAACAAACCAAAACGTCACTTAAAAAGTGACTCTTCAACTGTTTCAAACTTCATCGATCTTATTTAATTTCATTTTATTTGTCAAATGATGGCGAAATTTTCTGGGTTAAATCCGAAAGGACTGTATGTACATTGTAAGTTTAGAAAAAGAATAACAAACTTTGGGTTTTGTGCTCACCAACTCCAGCAAAAAAAAAAATTCGGAAGTTTTATGTCGCGGTCGTGCAACAACGGCTAAGAAATCTACAAAAAAGCTTGATGCGCGTTCAAAGACTTTTTTTTTTTGCCAATCTCGACCTTTTGTTTTTTTTTTGCTGTTCGCCGTCGCCGTTGCAAAAACTCCCTATTGTTGTCATCCGAAAATTTTGCTACCATGGTAACGTGACGTCATACTTCTTCTCTCTATTAAATCTTTAATCAATACACGATTCCTAGTTTGTAGCTAATCACTTCGAGGCAAAACCATTATTAAAATCGGTTAACAATTTTGAGGATAAAAATCGCACCTTGTAAAATTTATAACAATTATCTGAAAAGATGAATATGATAATAGGATAACTTGATTATCTCTAGCATGCGTGGCAGGCGTTCAAAAGGGAAGGGAAGGGAATTTGGGCGCGAGACCGCCGAGGGTTGTCCAATACTCACAAATAGACTCCATTGGTGTTAGTGGTGATAAGAAGGGTTTCCATTAGTATCAATGGAAAAGCACCCTATTCCAATGGTTCTATTGGTGAATATGCATCTCATTAAGGGGACTTAGATTATTTTCTGATGTGGTCTAGCTGGGTACAGGGCAATTCCAATGGTCTATTGGTACCAATGGTACAATTGGTACCAATGAAAAAGCACCCTATTCCAATGGTTCTATTGGTGAATATGCATCTCATTAAGGGGACTTAGATTATTTTCTGATGTGGCCTAGCTGGGTACAGGGCAATTCCAATGGTCTATTGGTAACAATGGTACGATTGGTACCAATAGAAAAGTACCCTATTCCAATGGTTCTTTTGGGGAATATGCATCTCATTAAGGGGACTTAGATTATTATCTCGTGTGGTCTGGCTGGGTACAGGGCAATAACAATGGTCCATAGGTACCAATGGTACAATTGGTACCAATAGAAAAGCACCCTATTCCAATGGTTCTATTGGTGAATATGCATTTCATTAAGGAGAGTTAGATTATTTCTCATGTGGTCTGGCTGGGTAAAGGGCAATTCCAATGGTCCATTGGTACGAATGGAACGATTGGTACCAATAGAAAATGATGTCATTCTAATGGTTCTAATGCATCCATTAAGGGGAGTTAAAATGTTGTTACCAATAGAAATTGATGAAAGTTTCTTGAAAGTTGTACTCAATTGGCAGATCTTTTACTGCTGTTCCATTCATGGTGTTTATTGTTAGAAATACAATGTTTAAATTTTATTTATTGGGTTCCCAGGTTTAGAAAAGCGAATGTGAATTACAGAGACTGTTGTGACTTATCGATAGAAGTTTAGACATGTTTTGCGATTGGAATTACAACGTAGAAGCTACCAGGAGTTTTGTTGGTCTACATCTTCATTGTGGCAGTCTAGTAAATATAACATAAGAAATAAAAACCTCCATCGATTCATATGTTTATGGGTGATAAGGAGACATTCAAACTTCTGCTGTTTTTCCACGGCAACGGGTGCAATCCTGAAATCATCAGTAGATGGATTCTTCTAGCTCAGTCCTGGGCCTCATCGCAAGCTACAGCCGAGAAAAAAGCACGGCAAATACAATTTGTCAACGACAACGTTGACATTAAAAGACATCAATGGTTTTACTACGACCTTGATTATAGCAAACTGTTGTACCTCAATAGGTTACCACAACAAACCCCACGTCAACAGTGAAGAGTGACTTTAGGAGCCACCAAATGCAATACAAAGTCATAACCAACAGCATGATATAACCACTCTTTCGGAAACTCTTCATTGAAAACTTGTTTTGGTTTAAACACTTTCATGTAGATAATGACATTGCGCTAAGAAATTTCAGAAGTTAATTTCACAGTAAGTTGAGTACAGTTGCTAAAACCTGTTGCCTCAATACCACTTTGCCAGTTTTACGCCTTTCCGCGTTGTTTCGGGTTCTTTTAAACAATTAAAAATGACCAAAAAATAGTGCTTGCGTACAGGAAAGAAGACATTCATATGTCATGTTGTTGTTTGCTCGTGAATCACAATAAACAGAACGAACTCGACAGTGACGCGCTACCTTTCAATTTTAATGTTCGTACGATGTTTGTTATACTCGCAGCACCTTGACATATTATCAGCGCTAGATATATAGGTCGCCCTCGCTTTGTAACTATTAGCGCGTTTCTACTTTGTGTGAAAGTGAACTTGTTTTGCGTGGTTGACCTATAGAACGAGGAATATTCATAAGAATTGTGGCGCGTTTTTAATTGGTGTAACAGCGAACTTGTTTTGCGTGGTTGGCTTATAGAACGAGGAATATGCATAATAATTATTAGCGCGTTTTTACTTGGTGTAAAAGCGAACTTTTTTGGCGTGGTTGGCTTATAGAACGAGGAATATTCATAAAAATTATTAGCGCGCTTTTACTTGGTGTAAAAGCGAACTTGTTTTGCGTGATTGGCTTATAGAACGAGGAATATTCATAAGAATTATAGTGCGCTTTTACTTGGTGTAAAAGCGAACTTGTTTTGCGTGGTTGGCTTATAGAACGAGGAATATTCATAATAATTATTAGCGCGTTTCTACTTGGTGTAAAAGCGAACTTGTTTTGCACCAATAGAACCATTGGAATGGCATCATTTTCCATTGGTACCAATCGTACCATTGGCACCAATGGACCATCGGAATTGCCCTGTACCCGGCCAGGTCACATGGGAAAATAATGAGATGCATATTCACCAATAGAACCATTGGAATAGGGTGCTTTTCCATTGGTACCAATTGTACCAGTGGTACCAATGGACCATTGGAATTGCCCTGTACCCAGCTAGACCACTTCAGAAAATAATCTAAGTCCCCTTAATGAGATGCATATTAACCAATAGAACCATTGGAATGACATCCTTTTCTATTGGTACCAATCCTACCGTTGGTACCAATGGACCATCAGTTTGACGAATCGTATCCCGTTTGTGTAGACCGCCCACGAGGGAGAAGGGAGGAGAGGAACGCGTTTTCCTTCCTCATTCCTCGCGCTCCCTTCGTACTTCCCACGCGCCCATATTCTCTTTCCCTTCCTTTTGATAGACCGGATTGTCTCTCAAACAGTGGGGGGAAAATTGGAATGTTTTTAATTATAACATTGAGATTCTGGTCAAACCTTCCCATTATGTTTATAGCATCTTTGTTATATCTCTTTATGTCAGTGTAGTTTGCTTCAATGTGTGATTAAAGCTTTCAATAAAAGACAGTGTCTTACAGTTTGTACAAATCTTGTCCATTATTTTTTCCTAACAAATAAGATCACAGAGATTAATTGAACTCATTATATCTGCTCCTAACAGAGAATTTCCCGTACAGTCTCTCAATATCGATCAGCATCCAATGCAGCTATTTGCAGACTTTTCTGGTTATTTAAACAAAAATAAAAAGCCCCTATGGACTATTTATTTGAAAAAGTTAAATACCGAAATATATATATATATATATATATATATATATATATATATAGATATATATATATCTGTCTGATTTTAGAAAAAGGTACCTATCTAAGAATCCCAACCATTGGCTAGTGTAGTTTTCTAACTCACTGTCGTACCAGAATGGTCAAGCAGCAAGTAGTAGTTTTCAACAACAACAACAATTTTTTTATTAGCGAATGATAACATGGTGCTATACAGTGAAACCCCTTGCCTAAGAACCTATATTTTAAGAACCTGTTTAGTCTAGAAATTGAAACAATTTCTTAGTTTCTAAAATCTCTGAAAAAATTTGCCTGTACCCTTGAGCAAAAGTTAGATCAGTCACTATTCGGAAGCCTCTTTGAAGACATACTTGCATTATCGCTCTAACTGGACTGTTTAAATGCCAATGAGGTCAATGCTTTATGTTTTCTTTATATGGTCGTTTTTACATAACGTCTTATTTGGTGTGCAGATTTTATATGAGGAATAAGCTGAACCACTAAATTCGCTTGGCTATATTGTATTTTTCTTATTCAGAACATAACCTATGTAAGAACCTAAATAGCCTTACCCTGTACTAACTACCATTTATATATTAAAAAGAATAACCTGTTTAGGATAACTTTGAAAAATCCAGGTTCTTAGTCTCTTGGTACGTTTTACTGTAAGACAAAGGCAAGGCGAAGGAAACTGAGGTGCTGCGT